GGAGTAACGCAGCCCAAAGTGAAATTGCGCTGAATTCTGTTTGTAGATACGGCTATTACAGCTGGTTCTGTGCTAAGCCGTATGAAAAAGATTACGTTTCCTGCAGCTCTCCCTCGCCCCGTCTCTTCCTCTCTTTTTTTGGATCTGTAGTGTCTATTTAAATGTATATTTTATTACATCACTACAGTACATCATTCCCGCACTTCCCAGAGCTGAATTCTCCATGTCATATATTTCTGATATTAGTTTTTTAATGATTCTTTGAAGTCGTTATCTCTAAACTAACTTAAGCCATCACTGACTCCATATTGTATGCGTCACCTTAAGGATTTTAGCAATATGTATATATGCTTTTTAACTGATTTTTGCTTTATCGCTAAAAAAAAAAAAATTAAATCTTTCTTGGTGCTCAATTTGTCCTCTGTAATAGAGATGGAACTCCGCTGAAGTTGCTGAAAGCTGAACATATAATGGAAAGCAGACATAGGCATTAAGATCCCAATGCTGCAACTGTTACTCCTGCAAATTAAGTCCTTGAAGTCAGTAGGACTATTCATATTGGTAGAAGCTATTTGTGCAGGTCAGACTAGCAATATCAAGTCCTATTTGAGCATGCACCATTTTATTATGCAAACGTGTAAGCAAAGCTATCAATCAAAAAAACCCTAGTCTGAAAGATAAAATGCAAGTGAGAAGGGAAATTTAATTAACTAGTATCCAGAAAAGAGGTTTGAGATGAAAAATTCTACCAAGTATTCTAGGTAAGGGTATGAATGAATAATTGTTAAAATAGTAATTCTTTGAATTTCAGCAGTGTAACTACAGCTACCCAACTTCCCTGAACACACACAATCCTTTCATAATAAAGAACTATCACCATCTTGGTTTTGTCACAATAAAGGTTTTCCTAATTTTAAAGACTTTTGTTCTAAGTAAATTCAACCATTATACGGCTGGTTCTGCCTATCCAACTCTTCAGAAATTCATCCATAAACAAAGGACCATTCCCTGAGATGCCTGGTTCCTAAAGATTCTTGTCCCACATCCTCTTCATCAGCCTCTGTAATATCCCAGTAACTTTCTACTCCTAAAATCCCTCAACACAATATTCTCAAGTCCAGAAAACTACCCGGAGGCCAGTTATAAACAGAGTCCCTCAGGAGTCTGTCCTGAGACTTACCCTTTTTAATAGCTGTCTCAGTGACCTGGAGGGGGAGACACAAAGCACCCTCATCAAGTTTGCAGATGGCACCACAGTGAGCGGTGCAAACGGAAGGGCTACCAGTCAGAAGGACCTGATGAGCAGGCCAGCAGGAACTTCATGAAACTCAAGAAGGACAAATGCAAAGTACTGCACCTGGGATGGACTAACTGTCTGCAATGACACAGGCTGGGGACTGCCTACCAGGATAGCAGCACTGATGGAAAGCACATGAGAGTCTGGTGGGCAGTAGGCTAACCAGGATTCAGCAGTGCATCCTGGCAACAATGAAGACTAACAGCATAGTGGGTTGTATCAACAGCAAAATGGTAGCTCAACAGTAACCAATAAATCAAGGGAAGCAATTATTCCTCTCCGCTCAGCCCACATCTAGAATACTGCAGTCAGTTTTGGGTCGCCCGGTACAAGAAAGACTTGGAAAAACTTGAGTCCAGGGAAAAGTCACCAAGATGGTTATGGGGTTGGAGCATATGACCTATATGAGGAGAACCTGAGGGTTCTTCATAGAATCATAGAATCATTGAGGTTGGAAAAGACCTCTAAGATCATCAAGTCCAACCGTCAACCCAACACCACCACCCACTAAACCATGTCCCTAAGTGCCTCATCCACTCGTCTTTTAAATACCTCCAGGGATGGGGACTCAACCACTTCCCTGGGCAGCCTGGTCCAATGTTTAACCACTCTTTCAGTGACGAAATTTTTCCTCACATCCAATCTAAACCTCCCCTGGTGCAACTTGAGGCCATTTCCTCTCGTCCTATCGCTAGTTACTTGTCAGGTAGTTAGAGAGCGATGAGGTCTCCCCTGAGCCTCCTTTTCTCCAGGCTAAACAACCCCAGTTCCCTCAGCCGCTCCTCATAAGACTTGTTCTCCAGACCCCTGACCAGCCTCGTTGCCCTTCTCTGGACATGCTCCAGCACCTGGATCAGATTCCTCAGCATCATGCTGGGGAAGAGAAGGCTTAGGGGAGAGGTTATTGAGAAGATGGAGCTAGACTCCTTATTGAGGATGCCTGGAAGAATGAGAAATAAATTCATAAACTGAAACAGCAGAGGTTCTGACTGGTTATAAGGAAGAATTCTTCATTATGAAGATAATTAAGTACTGGAACACTTCGCACAAAAAAGCTGTAGACTCTCCCACCTTCCAGGTTTTTAAGACTCAGCCAGACAACGCCCTAAGCAACCTTGTCTGAATTTAATGTTGACCCAGCTTTGAGCAAGATGTTGGACTAGATGACCACTCAAGTTCTTTTCTAACCTGAGTGATTCTATGATCCATGTCCTCCCGCATAGCTCGAACTTCCTCCCATATTCCTTATTATCACACAATACCCTTAGTTCCCTCATACATCTAGGATCACCCCCTGGCGCGTCCCCCAGTCTGTATTTGTCCAGCTTGCTAGCTGGGCACAGTCAGCTCACCCTGAGGATAACCTGGCCAGTCTGTACAAGAGTGCTGACTGGCAGCCAACCAGACAGAAGAGCAAAGAAAAGGAAAAAACGGTAGATTTCCCCCTCAACTGGGACACATGGAGGGGCTATCTAGCTGTTGATTTATCAATGGATTCAAAAGTTACCTGAAGGGAGAGAGAAGGAAGGCGAATAGACCATTCAATCACTTAAGGCTAGCTTTCTTTGGAAAACAGGCTAAGGAAGAAAGAATACAAAACAAATTTCCCCAAAAATGAATTAGCGTCAAGAAACCAGACTACAAAAAGACAAAAAGATACATTTTTAAAAAGTCAACTTGTCATGCACAACATTCATCATGTGTGGAAGCATCACCATATCTTCCTTGCTCTAAATTACATCAGTCAAAATCCTGTTAGCATAGGATGTCAGAAGCAGGGTGCATTCCAAAGCTGTATACTACATGAAGATTTGGCACGCTACTTAAATACTTGGATTGTACTTAGGACAAGGATGGGAAAATTACCAACGTGCTCCTGAAACAACAATCTCATCTATACTTGGGAAGGCTGGCCTAGTTATATTTTCATAAACAGTCATGCATACCACTTTATTGATCCACTGACCTAAGAAAAGTTCTGATACCATTGTTTAGAGATCGTCTT